TAGTATCTGAGTCCTAATTTGAACTCAGGAAAATGAGTTTTCCTGACTTCAGGTGTGGTATTCTATCCACTTGTTGTTGTTGTTGTCCTTCATCCTTTTTTTTTTTTAAGAGCAAATAGTATCCTTCAACATGCATTCAGACTCTATTGTTCTTTCTGTGGATGTGGACAGTATTTTCCATCATGAGTCTTTTGGAGTTGTCTTAGATCCTTGCATTGCTGAGAAGAGCCAAGTCTATGAAAGTTAGTTATCACACAACATGACTGTAACTGTGTACAATGTTCTCCTCCTGGTTCTGCTCACTTCACTCAGCATCAGTCCATGCAAGACTTCCCAGCTTTTTATGAAGTCTGCCTGCTCATCATTTCTTATAGCACAATAGTATTCCATTACATTCATATATCACAACTTATTCAGCCATTCCCCAATTGATGGACAACTCAATTTCCAATTCTTTGCCACCACAAATAGAGCAGCTATAAATATTTTTGTACACGTGGGCCCTTTTCCCATTTGTATGATCTCTTTGGGATACAGCCCTAGAAGTGCTATTGCTGGGTCAAAGGGTATGCACATTTTTATAGCCTTTTGGGCATGGTTCCAAATTGCTCTCCAAAATGGTTGAATCAGTTCACATTTCCACCAACAATGCATTAGTGTTCCAACTTTCCCACATCTTCTCCAACATTTATCGTCGTCCTGTTTTCTCATGTTGGCCAGTCTGATAGGTGTGATGTGATACCTCAGAGTTGTTTTGATTTGAATTTCTCTAATCAATAGTGATTTGAAACATTTTTTCATATGCTATAGATAGCTTTAATTTAGAAGTAAACAATTTGACCTTTATTGAGTCCCTTGTAATTGTTCTTTCATGTTTACCTTATATATCTCCTGGAAGTTATATTTCGAATTTTCCATTAACTTCTGCTTCCCCACCCCCCCTAGAAATGCCTCAAAGTCTTTCAGGTTGTTAAATGTGCATTTTTTTTTTCCATTCAGGATTATACTTAACTTTGCTGGGTAAGTTACTTTTGGTCATAAGAGACCTGTGCACTTCAATGGAGTAAACACTAGGTCTTTTGTAATCCTTATTGTAGCTCCACAATACTTAAATTGTTTTTTGCTTGTTGCTTGCAATATTTTCTCCTTAACCTGGGAGCTTTGAAACTTGCCTATAATATTCCTGTAAGTTTTCCTTCTGGGATCTCTTTCAGGTGGTGATTGGTGCATTTTTTCCTCTTCCTGCTTTGCCTTCTTGTTCTAGAACTTCAGGGTAATTATCTTTAATAATTTCTTGTAATATCATATCAAGATTCTTTCTTTGATCCTGACTTCCAGGGAGTCCAACTATTCTTATATTTTCTCTCCTCAATCTATTCTCCAGATCAGTTGTTTTTCTGATGAGATATTTTACATTCTCTTGTCTTTTTCTCGATATTATTTCTTGGTGTCTTAGCACAACATTACCTTCCCCTGGGCCAATTTTAGTTTTCAATAAATTATTTTCTTCCTTAAGTTTTTGATTCTCTTTTTCCAGTTGGTTGACTTTCTTTTCATAATTTTTTTTTGGATTGCATTTATTCTTTTTCCTTTGATCTCTCTTACTTGATTTTTAAAGTCCTTTTTAAGTTCTTCCAAGAACTCTTTTGGGGATTGTGACCGTTTGACATTTCTCACTGAAAAAGTAGTGGCTTTTAAGCTCTATTATCTTCCTCTAAATATGAACCCAGATCTTCTGTATCCCCATAGTAGCTATTTATGGTTGGGTTCTTTCTCCTTCGCTGACTCATTTTTATTCATTCATTTAGTCATTCATTCGTTTGTTTGTTTATTGTTTTGCAGCTATTATTATAATCAAGTTCTAGTCCTAATATGTGGGGAATGATGCCCCAAACCTCAGGTCCTTCTTATTGCTATTTTTTTGAGCTCTTTCCCAGGGCCCAAACTTCATCCCTAAGGCATGGTGCCCTGAAAAAACCCTTGCTCACCATGGTCCATCTACTGGTTGCAAATTTCAGTCATACTCTGCCCTAGAACTGAAACCAGGGACTCCTCTCCTGTAAGTGCTCACAGCCAGCACTCTGCTACTCCACTCCCCAGACATGGGCTTGCTCCTTCCCCCACCCCCTGAGCTGCAGCCCAGGACCTTGTCTGGCCAGCACAGCTGTGCTTGGCATCCTTCCACAGTGGAAGGTCCTTTAATTTTCTCCTACTCAACTGTCTAACTCAACGACATTCCAACACAAGACTCAAGAGAAGCATAAAAAGGTAAACGTGAATGAGAAACCTTATGGAATTTAATGAGGTTAAACTTTTTACATTCCCAAATGGGAAGATGAGACATGTAACATCTAAGAATGTTATCATCACCAAGGAAGCTAGAAGGACTCTATTTAGACAGAGAGCGTGAGCATGGGTCAATTATGTTGAGGTGATCTCAAAAGAAAAATGGAAGGGTCAGAAGTAGGGATCCCCTCTCTCTCTGAACTGGTTCAAAGAGGGAAGACTATATTTATATCTAGATCTATGATTGTTATCCTTCATTCTCAAAGAGGACGAAAATGACATCACTATGCTAGAGTCAAGTTACAGTGTGTCTGACTGGCTGATCAGATCACTACAAGCTGGGACTGTTCTACCATGGGTGGGGTACAAATAATCCATGTGAACATTTGGGGTGGATTCTCTAAATGTGCACATCTTGCATTTCTTTTGAGCTACTTCAATTCTGCTTTGCTCATAGAGCACAGCACCTTCTCTCATGATGGCAGGACATGCTGGGTGGTGGTCCTGTGACAGTGTCTCCCATGTCACACAATCAATTCCAAAGTTCTCAAGAGAGAGCTTGGGAGTATCCTTGTATCATTTCTTCTATCACTTCTTCTGACTACCATGTGAATGCTTGCCCTGTGTGAGTTCTCCATAAAATAGTCCTTTTTTTTTTTTTTTTTTTGCAAGCATATGTTTTGCATTTCAACAATGTGGCCAGGTCATTGGAGTTGTGCTCTCTGCAGTAGAGTTTGAATGCCTGGTAGTTTAGTTTGAGAAAGGACCTCAGGGTCTGGTATCACCTGCCAGGTGATCTTCAGAATCTTCCCGAGACAATTCAAATGGAAGTGATTCCATTTCCTAGCATGGCACTGGTGTACTGCCCAAGTTTCCAGCATACAACAATGAGGTCAGGACAATGGCTCTGTAGACCTTCATTTTGGTAGTCAGTCTAATACCTCTTCTCTCCCACACTTTCCTTCACAGCTTCCCAAACACTTAGTTCTGGAGATTCGTGCATCATCCTCATTATCAATGTGTACATCCCTGGAAAGTACCCTACAAAGAAAGGTAAGTAAACTTATGCACAACATTCAAAACTTCTCCATTTGCTGTAACCAATGATTCCACATATGGATGGTGTGGTCATGGCTGATGGAGCACCTGTATTTTATTGGTGTTAATTGTTAGACCAATATTAGCATAAGTAACAGAGAATTCAATCCATATATTGTTGCATCTCAGCTTCAGAGGCTGCATTGAGTGCACAATCATCTGCAAATAGGAAATCATGCCCCAACACTCCCTCCACTTTGGTCTTGGCTTGTAGCCTTTTCAAGTTGAAGAATTTACCATCAGTGTGGTAGCTGACCTTGATGGCATGTTTGTCCTCATTGAAGGCATTTGACAACATGGCTGAAAACATGCTAAAAAGCATGGGAGCAAGCACACAGCCTTGTTTCACTCCACTGATGACAAGGAAAGCACGAGAGCATTGTCCATTATCCAGAACCTGGGCAAACATGCCATCATGAAACTGATGCACAATACTGATGAACTTCTCTGGGCATCCACATTTTGACATAATTTTCCATAAGCCCCCACAATTGACAGTATCAAAGACCTTGGTCAAATCTACAAACCCATATCCCAAGGTTAATGACCACAGAAGGACTGGGAGATTCTGCCATTTCAAGGACAGAATCTTCCTCTCTGGAAGTGGACGTGTGAGGGAGGGAGTGTGACATTCTCCAGGCAGATAGGAACGAGGGTGTTGTAATCTGCCCAGGGTAGAATGAAGAGGACACATCACTCTGGAGTCCTCAAGCCTCATTGCTTTTCAATTTAGGGTCCAGGCTGGACAGTTGGCAATGAGGCATTGGTTTGGGACACTGATGGACAGAAGTGTTTGGCTGGATGACCTTGCTCGCACACTGCAAAGTGGGAGTATGTTTAAACATGATCTCTTGGCAGGATTACCAGGGTGGTGGCTGTAGCAATCATAACAATGTGATGTCGATGGAAATGTGCTACAGAAATTAAGGAAGAGGCAGTATGGTAGAGGCAAGTGGCCATGGGATTTGGGGTCGTTGAACCTGGATTCAGCTAGCCCCGGACTAGGCGTGAAATGGATTTTTGGAAAAGAGAGATGGAGTACCTTGCTCCCTGTTGTGTCTTACTTTCCCAGCAAAATTCCATCACTCTGAAAATGCCATCTTTTTTTTTCTTCTTCAGTCTTTTTTATTGCGCAGGGCTCTGACAAGACAGTGTGCCTTTTAAGTAGCGAGTAATTTGAGTCATCTGTGAAGTCCCGGTCCCTCATCACCCCGATCAGGACGCCCTGATTTTTCTTCCTGGCAGGTGGCTTTCAGCATAGCTTGTGGAGGCCTTTGAACGAGAAACAGAAAAGAAAGAAAAGAAAAGGAGAAAGGGAAGGAGAAATGAAAGGGAAAGTGTGGAAGAAAGGAGAATTATGCAAACATTGAGCAAGCGAAGAGGCAAGGATTATGGGTGGCAAGAAAGTGTCTTCTTGCCCGAAAAAAGGGCTAAAATCTTGTCTTTAGGTGTTTTTAGGCGATGGTTTGGATGCATACAAGCGGCAGGCTAGCAGCTGTTTTGTTGGGTGCTGGAGGTAGCTGAGGGCTTTGGAGGCTTTGTCAAAGTTTTCGGAGTGAGCGCGAGTGGAAGGAGGGCTCTAGCAAAGGGCGAGGGGAATGGGTGACTTGATGTTTATTGCTTCTTGACCTTTTCGCTAAGATCAAGTGTAGTATCTGTTCTTATCAGTTTAATATCTGAAATTCCCTATCCGAGGACAATAGGTTAAATGGGTTTTTGGAGCAGGGAGGTGGAATAGAAGCTTGCTCCATTCACGCCACAAATTGACCCGGTATTGTAGTACTTCTGGGAACGGTGCACTTTCCTTTGGTGAACAGCTCTTTGTGTGAAAAAGAAGCTCGTAGCTTTTGCCAATTTCCCGATAGACAAAGTATTGGGAGCAATTCTACCATGCATTGTGCGAATGAGGGGAAGAAAATCTCTCTTTCTCTAATACGGTGAGGTTTGCTGTTTAAGACTTATGTCCATGGGTTTGGAATGAGGATCTCTTTACAGGAAAATACTTATGGACAATACTTAAAGCAGTGCTTGTGTTCCAATAAATCTTTGTTTTTGCCTTTTGCTACTAACAGAAAAAGAGAAACTTGTCACTTTTCTCAAAGGGAAAAAACAATAAATGAGGTGTTTACTCCTTTCCGGGCCTGTGTTATGGTCTGTGAGTGACCACAAGTACTTTTTTTTTTGGTTATGTAGTGGGGTTAAGTGACTTTACCAGGGTCACACAGCTAGTAAATGTTATGTGTCTGAAGCTGGATTTGAACTCAGGTCCTCCTGAGTCCAGGGCCGGTAAAACCACTCTTTTCTACCTTGGAACTGTGAGAATTCCCTCTCCACCGCCACAATAAGCTTCACCAGGCCACGCCAGAGCTCCTCCTTGCCCCAGGCTGCCACCCAGAACTTCGGCCCAAAGCTAAGCACAGGCAAAGCAAGAGAATCCTGCCTCAGCACCAGCAAAGAGATCCCTTCAATTCTCCCTCTGATCAGCCATTAGATTCCCCCTCAGTCTGTGGGCCAACTGCTTCAGAGGCAGCTGCTGCCCCAGGGCTGCACCTGGACTAGGGCTGGGACTGAGCTTTTTTCTCACTTTGGTCACAGACTTTTCCTACTGACCTTCTAAATTCTCTTTGGCATTAGTGTGTTGAGAAGTCTGGAAACTGCCACAGCTGCCTGTGATTCAGTCCTCTGAGGGCTGCTGCAGGTTCGCTGAGGCCTGGTCTTTCCCTGCGCATGCCCAGGCTGAACTGCGTTCCTCTCCCAGCCCAGCGCAATAGACTTCTATTTATATTTTTCTTTTTTTCCTTGTCTTGCCTTTTTTTTAAAAATTAATTTATTTTGATTTATCAACAATCACTTTCATAAGCTTTTGAATTTTAAATTTTACTCCCCTCCCTCCCCATCTCCTTCCCCAAGAAGTCACACAGTCTAATATAGGTTATACATATACATTCATACATAAATATTTTCACATTAGTCATGTTGTAAGGAAGAGTTAGAACCAATAGGAGGAACCACCAGAAAGAGGAAACAAAACAAAATAGAAGGAAAAAAAGTTCAAATAGTCTGCTTTGATCTGCATTTAGGCTCCATAGTTCTTTCTTTGGATGTGGATAGCATTTTTCATCATCAGGCCTTTGGAGATGTCTTAGATCCTTGTATTGCTGAGAAGGGTTAAGTCTATCAATATCAGTCATCACACAACTTGGCTGTTACTGTGTACAACTTTCTCCTGATTCTGCTCACTTTACTCAGCATCAGACCATACAAATTTTTCCAGGTTTTTCTGAAGTCTGCCTGCTCATCATTTCTTATAGCACAAAAGTATTCCATTACATTCATTTACCACATCTTGTTCAGCCATTCCCCAATTGATGGGCATCCTCTCAATTTCCAATTCTTTGCCACCACAAAAAGAGCTGCTATGAGTATTTCTGTACATGTGGGTCCTTTCCCCATTTGTATGATCTCTTTGGGATATAGCCCTAGAAGTGCTATTGTGGGGTGAAAGGGAATGCACATTTTTATAGACTTTTGGGCATAGTTCCAAATTCACAATAGACTTTTCCTTTTTTTTTTTACATTCAAATTAAACATATTTTCACATTAGAGACGTTGTAAATAAAAATTAAAAGCAATAGGAGGAACCATTAGAAAGAGGAAACAAAACTCAACAAAAGAGAAAAAAATAGCAATTCAACTTCCATAGTTCTTTCTTTGGATGTGGATAGCATTTTCCATCACAAGGCCTCTGGAGATGTCTTAGATCCTTGTATTGCTGGGAAGGGTTAAGTTTATCAATATTAGTCATCACACAAGATGGCTGTTACTGTGTACAACATTCTCTTGGTTCTGCTCACTTCACTCAGCATCAGACCATTCAAGTCTTTCCAGGTTTTTCTGAAGTCAACCTGTCCATCATTTCTTATAGCGCAATAGTATTCATACACCACAACTTGCTCAGCCATTCCCCAATTGGTGGGCATCCTCTCAATTTCCAATTCTTTACCACCACAAAAAGAGCTGCTGTGAATATTTTTGTACATGTGGGTCCTTTTCACATTTGTATGATCTCTTTGGGATATAGCCCTAGAAGTGCTATTGCTGGGTCAAAGGGTATGCATTTTTATAGCCCTTTGGGCATAGTTCCAAATTGCTCTCCAAAATGGTTGGATCATTTCACAACTCCAGCAACAATGCATTAGTGTTCCAATTTTCCCACATCTTCCCCAACATTTATCACTTTCCTGTTTCATCATGTTGGCCAATCTGATAGGTGTGATGTGGTACCTCAGAGTTGTTTTGATTTGCATTTCTCTAATCAATAGTGATTTAGAGCATTTTTTCATATGGCTATGTATGGCTTTAATTTCTTCATTTGAGAACTGTCTGTTCATATCCTTTGACCATTTATCAATTGGGGAATGACCTGTATTCTTATAAATTTGACTTAATTCTCTACACATTTTAGAAATGAGGCCCTTATCAAAGAGACTGGTTGTAAAAATTCTTTCCCATTTTTCTACCTTCCTTCTAGTCTTAGTTGCTTTGGCTTTGTGTGTGCAAAAACTTTTCAATTTAATATAATCAAAATTATCCATTTTGCTTTTCGTAATGTTCTCTGTCTCCTGTTTGGTCATGAATTCTTCTGTTCTCCATAGATCTGACAGGTAAACTATTCCTTGCTCTCCCAGTTTGCTTATAGTATCAGCCTTTGTTTCCCCATTTTGACTTTATTTTGGGATATGGTGTGAGATTTTGGCCTATGCCTTGTTTCTGCCATACTCTTTTCCAGTTTTCCCAGTTGTTTTTGTCAAATACTGAGTTCTTATCCCGGAAGCTGGGGTCTTTGGGTTTATCAAATAATAGATATCAAATAATAGATAGTCATTGACTACTGTGTCTTGCATATTTAACCTATTCCACTGATCCACCACTCTATTTCTTAGCCAGTACCAAGCAGTTTTGGTGATTGCTGCTTTATAATACAATTTAAGATCTGGAATGGCTAGGCCACCTTCCCCTGCATTTCTTTTCATTAGTTCCCTTGATATTGTGGACATTTTGTTCTTCCAAATGAATCTTGTTGTTATTTTTTCTAACTCTATAAAACAATTTTTTTGGAAGTTTGATTGGTATGGCACTGAATAAGTAAATTAGCTTAGGTAGAATTGTCATTTTTATTATATAGCTTGGCCTACCCCTGAGCAACTGATGTTTTTCCAATTATTTAGATCTGACTTTATTTTCATGAAAAGTGTTTTGTAATTGTGTTCATAGAGTTCCTGGGTTTGTTTTGGCAGGTAGACGCTTAAATATTTTATAAAGTCTACAGTAAGTTTAAATGGAATTTCTCTTTCTATCTCTTGCTGTTGGGCTTTGTTGGTAATATATAGAAATGCTGAAGATTTATGTGGGTTTATTTTATATCCTGAAACTTTGCTAAAGTTGTTTATTACTTCAAGTAGTTTTTTACTTGATTCTCTAGGATTCTCTAAGCATAGCATCATGTCATCTGCAAAGAGTGATAGCTTTGTTGTTTTTTTTTTTTTGCCTATTCTAATACCTTCAATTTCTTTTTCTTCTCTTATTGCCATTGCTAAAGCTAACGTTTCCAGTATGATATTGAGTAACAGTGATGATAATGGACATCCCTGTTTTACCCCCGATCTTATTGGAAATGCTTCTAGCTTGCCCCATTACATATTATGCTTGCTGAAGGTTTTTGATAGGTACTATTAATTATTTTAAGGAAGACTCCATTTACACCGACATTCTCTAGTGTTTTTAATAGGAATCGGTGTTGTATTTTGTCAAAAGCTTTTTCTGCACGACAAACTTTTCCAATCAACTATCTAGGTTGTATTGGGCTGAAAATGATTTCACTCTGTTTTTGTGTGGGTTAGGCTGCTTTACAATTTGTTTAGAGCCATTTTTTTACAGCTCTTTGAGGTTTAAGAGAGAGCTCAAGCAAGTTACCTCTTGTACTCCAAAACCTTAGCTACACACTCTTAATTAATATAACAATCTCAAGAGTTAACTGTTGGGTCACTAATAGAAACGCTAGTCTTGGAAAACCGCAGTTACAGGATAAATACTTACTTTTTGACAACTCGAGATGAGGGGAGAGCGCGAACGCAGTCCCCCACTACCACAAATTATGCAGTCGAGTTTCCCGCATTTGGGGAAATCGCAGGGGTCAGCCCATCCGGAGTGCAATGGATAAGCCTCGCCCTGGGGAAACCACCTTCGTGATCATGGAATCACCCCTGCCAGGTAAGTATGCTCCACGACACCGCGCTCCACTACTCCCTCCACGCACACACACTCTAAACGCACGATCACTCACGCGGCGCTTCCACAGCCCAACAACACACGTGGCTCCACACGCACAAACCGCCAACACCCGGAAGCGCTTCAACCCCTCCCGACTCGCCTTGGCCCCTCTGACCCCCCAAATCCACGTTTTCCGGACGTGCTGTCTGCTTAGAGAAAACGCTGACACGAGTCTCCTCATCTGCATAACGGTCGGGCCCTTACTGACGTCACTCGCCAAACCTGACCCACAGGAGTCCAACATCTATTGACTGATCAGCCGAAATGGGATGGAGCACCTACATAGGTAGAGAGCAGGAATTTGGCAGTAGGGAGCTCTTGAGAAGAGTATAGTGAGAAGCGATTGGGTCTCTTGAGCAATTTATACACAAAGGATCATCATATTCCTTTGTGATCAATTTATGGTTGAAGTTTACATCTGTACCGTTTACTTCTTTAGATTTCATATTGTGCTTTTGATATCACCAGGTATTTCATGATTTATACCTGTAAAATGTCAAATGTCCTCGAAGCTAGTAAATCTCTTCACTTAAACATTAGGTGAATAAAATACTACACCTCCACCTTACCTATGAAATGGTGAAGGGAGGAAAGCATGAATCACCTGCCTCTGGTTGTAGAGGCAGACGCAGTAGGTTTCTTTCAATCGATCTGGTTCATCAGTATTCGCACGGTTTCTTTAGCAACGTGGTGAGGAATAGAATCCAGCTGACTCTCAGCCAGAATACGTTACCACCTATTTTCTGAATGGCTCTGTTCAGGGAGAGCTTGGAAAAAGAGGTGCACAGCATCACCCATTTGGTCCTGACTTCAGGCAGCCTACTGCAGAACGTCCTTGAAATTTTCATCTGAATGGAGAGCAGCGTTCTTTCCTCCTGGCTCAATGATAGCGCTTTCCACTCTGAACGATTAGAGAAGAGTTTAATCTTGAGTAGATTGGATCCTTTTATAAGCAATAGCTGACTTGCAAACTACACATTTCAAGGATCCAGGATTTGGAGAGTCACTACTACCAGAATTAGTCATCTTGGATAATAATAAGAACTATTATCACCACTATCATAGTCCAGCTCAAGATCCTACCAGCTTTATTGGCTATCTGCCAGTAATAATGAGGCAAAGAGAACTAAAAAGAAACCAATGGCCAATAAACATATCAAGATCAGGAAAACTCAAGGACCTTGGTCTACAGGCAAACAACTTAGGGAGAAGGCAAAGGCCAGATTTTCCTGGGTTCTGTTAGGCAGGAGAGGAGGCTCCCATTCAGAGGACCTTAGTCCACCTTCAGAGGCCAGCATGCCCACCCCCAAACAAGTTGACCTATCTTAAAGGGCACATGAGGGAGTGGGGATAGAGACCAAGCAGGACACCTCCTCAACTTCATCAGAGGCTACAGAAGGACAGCCTGGGCAGGGATGCAGGGATGCAGGGATGCAGGGCAGGCTGCTAGAAAGCACAGTCTCTCCCACTTGACTTTCTCTATGATTCTCTATGATTTGATGTCCAGGCTAAGACAGGTACCTAGGCCTGAGATATGGAACCACTTACTTTTTTTTCATGGCCCTTCCTAAAGGAAATGCAAATCTGGCTTAAGGAGGGATCAATGGTGTGGCAACCTCTTCCCCTCCCCAAAAAGAACTAGGAACTGACAAGGTGACTGGGAACAGAAGATTAAATTGCCAAGTATGGCAATCACATAAAGGGCAAATCACTTTGAAGGCAGGAATGGGACCTAACAAAACCAGGTTATTTTTTCTTCCTTTTTTGGATTGGGTTCTAGGCCTGGCTTTTTTATTTTTTCCAATGCAACATAGAATTTTAACCAGAAATCTGTTTTCTCTCAGTTTTCCCCCTGTTGGTTATTTCCAATGTACTATTTATTGTTGTGGTTCTGTCATTCCAGTCAGATCTGACTTTTCATGACCTATGTCCATAGGATTTTCTTGGCAAAGATACTGGAGTGCTTTGTCATTTCCTTCTCCAGTGGCAAACATAGGTTAAGTGACTTGTCCAAGGTCACATAACTAGGTAGTTTCTGAGGCTGAATTTGAACTGAGGTCTTCCTGACTCCACAGCTTTCAGTTTCTTTATCTTTAAGTACCTACATCTCAATGTGTTTGTGCAATGTTACCTTTGAATTTGGCATATCAGGGAGGCCTCATTAGTTACCACCCATAGGCACATGGACTATTAGCTCTATATATTTCCTGCAACTGGGTGACTTCCTCCATATAGCTTAAAATATTTGATTAAATATTCATTCACTCTGCCATAAGCAAATTAGGAGAGCAAGGAATAGTTTACCTGTCAGGTCTATGGAGAAGGGAAGGACTTATGATCAAACATGAGATAGAGGACATTATGAAATGCAAGGTGGATAATTTTGAATACATTAAATTAAAAAGGTTTTGCACAAACAAACCCAGCTCAGACAAGATTAAAAGGAAAGCAGAAACCTGGGAAACAATTTTTATAGCAAGTGTTTCTGATAAAGGCCTCATTTCTACAATATATAGAGAACTGAATCAAATTTGTAAGCATACAAGTCATTCCCCAATTGATAAATGGTCAAAGGATATGAACAGGCAGTTTTCAGATGAAGAAATCAAAACTATCTATAGGTATATAAAAATGCTCTAAACCACATTTGATTGGAGAAATGCAAATTAAAACAACTCTTGGATACCACCTCACACCTATCAGATTGGCTAAAGTGACAGAAAAGGAAAATGGTAAATTGGAGAAGATGTGGGAAAATTGGGACACTAATGCATTGGTGGTGGAGTTGTGAACTGATCCAAGATTATGGCAGCTCTTTTTATGGTGGCTAAAATCAGAAATTGAGGGAATCCCCATCAATTGGGGAATGTCTGAACAAGTTGTGGTATATGAATGTAATCGAATACTATTGTGCTATAAGAAATGACAAGCTGTATGGTTTCAGAAAAACCTAGGAAGATTTACATGAAGGGATGTTGAGTGAAGTGAGCAAAGCCAGAAGAAAAGTATACACGATAATATCAACATTCTGTGATGATCAAATATAATAAACAGTTCTCAGCACCACAATGATTCAAATTCCAAAAGACTCATGATGGAAAGTGCTATTCATAGCCAGAGAAAGAACAATGCAGTCTGAATGCAGATCAAAGTATGTTACTATTACTTTTTTTTGTTTTTTATTTTTTTCCTGGTTTTTCCCTTTTGTTCAGTTTCTTCTTTCACAACATGACTAATGTTGAAATGTGTTTAACATGATTGCATATGTATAACCTATATCAGATTACTTGTTGTCTTGGGGAGGGGGGAGGAGAGGGAGGGAGGAAGAAAAATTTGGAATTCAAAATGTTATGAAAAATGAATGTTGAAAACAACTTTTACATGTAATTGGAAAAAACAATACTTTTACAAAATATTAATTCACTTCAAATTACTTTTAAAATTCTTCTGAACTCTTTCTGTAATATTTGTTTGTATGGTCTGAACATTTTTATAGAAAGAATCCATTCATTCTGAAATGCAATTAATCATGGATTGTTGGAATTACTAGTATTGCTAGGAATTTCCTTTCTAAGTGCTTCATTTTGGATTGTTTCAGTTTCAACTGTAATGTCACCATTCGTGTCTATTTTTGGATTTGAAATATTAACTTCCTTTTTAGTATTGTCTGTATACCTACCTTAGTTAAACAGTTTTGCATGCTCTGATATTAGCTTATTCGATTCTAATTGCTGACTTTCCCAGGCTACCTTTGAGTCTTCTTGAGTAGGCAAGGAAAGAGACTGGATTTGTCTTGTTATCCCTGAGGAAGACATATAAGATCTTTTGCCTAAATATGGCCCATCAGTGGATGCAGATATATTCAGAATCACGTCTATTGCCTCTTTTTGAAATGGGTTCAAGTATATTCTGAATCACAGTCTCCATTACTTTCTTGCAAGTTGGAACACATATCTCTATTTCCTTGATATTTTCTGTGGAGGGGGCATGTTGCTTAACATCTCTAGGCCTCTGTTGGCTGAAGGGAAAAGGAGGGGATTGAACTCAATGGGGCCAAAGTTCGGATTGTACTGCTCTCTGATCTTTAACAAGTCAAGAAAGGGCCTAGAAGCTCCTAGTGGAACTAGGTTTCTCCAGGTTCTGGGTCCAATCCACTGGAGGCAGTGGAAGCATCATTTGAATAAATGTCTCTAAGGCTCTGCTTTGAAGGAGGGCATGAATCTGAAACCTAATGAATAACCCCAAATATTTCCACTTTCTTCATCAGGGAGTGTCTGAGTCTGGGTTTGGGAGGTTGGAAAAGGGCTGGAATGGATTTGGGGGAGAGAGCCGAATCCAGGAAGGGGTCAAACTCATTTGGACTTGTGAGTTCTGATAGGCTCATTTCCAAGACGGAACAAGAACAAAAGCAGAACCAAAGCAAGCCACCTGGTCTGATCCCCTGAGGGTGAGGAAATGCCATAGCCTTGCATTAGTTCCCATTCCTTTTCTGATCCAAGTTCGGCTGATCAGCCATTAGGTGAAGGGCTCCAGTGAGGCAGGTTTGGCGAGTGACGTCAGTAAATGACAGGCCGTTATGCAGATGAGGAAACTGGTGTCAGCGTTTTCTCTAATCAGATAGTGCGGTTGGAAAAGGTGGATTTGGGGAGTCAGAGGGGCCCAGGCTAATCGAGAGGGGGATTGAAGGGCTTGCAGGTGTTGGCGGATTGTGCGTGTGGAGCGTGTGTTATTGGGCTGTGGAAGTGCCGCGGGAGTGATCGTGCGTTTAGAGTGTGTGTGCGTGGAGGGAGTGGTGTAGCGCGGCGTTGCGAGGCGAAGTTATCTGGCAAAAGTGATTCCATGATCACGGAGGTAAGTTCCCCAGAGCGAGACTTATGCATTCTACCTTGGATGGGTTAATCCTTGCGCTTTACCCAAATGCGGGAAACTCGAATGCATAGTTTGTGGTAGTGGGAGACTGCTTTCGTGCTCACCTCGACATCCGAATCCCCCGCAAAAAAAAAATAGTACTACAGCTGTTAGTTAAGTGTTGTGTTCCAAAACTTGTGACGTAATAACTAAGTTCTAGGATTGTCTTATAGTAGTTAGTATTGTAGCGTTTGACACAAAGGGTCGTGGTATGAGACACTTTCTTCATATGTCAAGGAAGATGTCATGATTTCCAAACAAGTTCTTCCACTTCGAGGCCTACTTAGCTGGCAGGGGTAATTCATTTCCTTGATCATAAAGGTGCTTTCATCAGGAGAAAATTGTACTCCCAATGTGCTGACTTCATGCAATTTCCCCAAATACAGTAAAAACCCAATCACATTATATGTTTTAGGGAAATACGTAGTTTCAAAAAGGTTTTCAAGGGGCTTTAAAAGGACCTGATTTTAAAATACATACATATATATATATACATATGTATGTATGTATGTATGTATGTATGTCTTTCCCCCCACCAATTCCGTGTCAAAATTTTTTTTTAACATTCTTTCGTTTTTTTAGGTTTTGAGTTCCAAATTCTGTTCTCTCCTTGAGATGGTAAGCAATCTGATATAGGTTATACACGTACAATCATGTCAAACATATGTCCACATTAGTCATTTTGTGGAAGAAAATTGAAACCAAGAAAAGGAAAACTTGCCTGATATTCTACCAGGTTCCTTTTGTCTTTGGATGCACGGTGAAATTCCGTGTCAGTGTTAATCCGGAGCAGTCAATTAGTAGGTTTTGCTTTCGAATTAATTTTTTTTAATGAACAAAAATGTTATTTTATCTCTCAACTACTTTTCACTGCTGCAAAAACAAAACAAAAAATTCCTTTGGAACAGGTAGTAGACAGGCAAAAGATATAGCCTCATTGACCATAACAACAACAAAATACCTCATTCTTCACCCTGAGTACACCACCACTGACAACGTAGGAAGCATATTTTATCACCTATCTGCAGGAATCTCGGTTGGTCCCTGTGCTGATCAGAATTCTTAAGGTACACGTAGTTGTGATGGATTCCTAGGTTCTGTGTGTTGGCGTCTCAGTGAGTGACAGAGTTCTAGTTGCTTGTCATTCAACAGGATAGGGGCGACTAAGCATGCTGAGAAACTACTACCTGTTTTCCACAATTTTATCCAGAACTTGGGATGTTGCAGGGTAGGGACTTGCATGTGTGGCTATCAGTGTGCATAGGGGAACAGTGACTGTAAAAGCTACTCATTGTTTTTTCCCATTTAAGAAAATGACGAAATAATGCACTTGCTTTTTCCTCTCAGGACGAGGTTTTCTTTTTACTGTTACTTGCGAAAGGCAAAAATAAAGATTCTTTGGAACACAAGCATTGCTTTAAGTGTTGTCTACAAGTACTTTCCTATAAAAACATGCTCACACATGTAGCCAAAGTGATCCCAATAATTTGTCGGAAAACTAATAAATACAAGAAGTTTTTTTTTTTTTACACAAAAAATTCTTCCCCAAAGAGAGGTGCAGCATTCCCAAAACTATTGCAATACTGGGTTAACGCGTTGCGCGGATGGAACAAGCTCCTATTCCCTCTCCCTGCACTAAAAATTCATTTAATATGTTGTTTTCAGATAGAGAACGCATCAGATGGTAAACTGATATAAACACATACTACACCTGATCTTAGCCAAAGGACGGAAAAGCGATAAACTCCAAGCCGCCCGTTCCCCTCACCCTTCGCTAGAGCCCTCCTTCCACTCGCGCTCCCTCCGAAAACTTTGACAAAGCCTCCAATGCCCTCAGCTACCTTCAGCACCCGACAAAACAGCTGCCAGCCTGCCGCTTGTACGCATCCAAACCGTCGCCTCAAAACACCTAAAAAGAAGATTTTAGCCCTTTCTTCGGGCAAGAAGACACTTTCCTGCCACCCAGAAGTCCTTGCCTCTTCGCTTGCTCAATATTTGCATAATTCTCCTTTCTTCCACACTTTCCCTTTCATTTCTCCTTCCCTTTCTCCTTTTCTTTTCTTTTCTTTCTTTTCTGTTTCTCTTTCAAAGGCCTCCACAAGCTATGCCGAAAGCCACCTGCCAGGAAGAAAAATCAGGGCGTCCTGATCGGGGTGATGAGGGACCGGGACTTCACAGATGCCTCGGATTACTCGCTACTTAAATGGCACACTGCCTTGTCAGAGCCCTGCGCAATAAAAAAGACTGAAGAAGAAAAAAAAGATGGCATTTTCAGAGTGATGGAATTTTGCTGGGAAAGTAAGACACAACAGGGAGCAAGGTACTCCATCTCTCTTTTCCAAAAATCCATTTCACGCCTAGTCCGGGGCTAGCTGAATCCAGGTTCAACTACCCCAAATCCCATGGCCACTCGCCTCTACCATACTGCCTCTTCCTTAATTTCTGTAGCACATTTCCATCGACCTCACATTGTTATGATTGCTACAGCCACCACCCTGGTAATCCTGCCAAGAGATCATGTTTAAATATACTCCCGCTTTGCAGTGTGCAAGCAAGGTCATCCAGTCAAACACTTCTTCTACCCATCAGTGTCCCAAAGCAATGCCTCATTGCCAACTGTCCAGCCTGGACCCTAAATTTGACAGCGATGATGTTTGAGGACTCCAGAGTGATGTGTCCTCTTCATTCTACCCTGGGCAGATTACAACACCCCGCTCCTATCTGCCTCGATAATGTCACACTCAGTGCCTTATATATCCATTTCCAGAGAGGAAGACTCTATCCTTGAAGAGGCAGGATTTTCCAGTCTGCAGGTGGTCATTAACCTTGAGATACAGGTTTCACCTTGACAAACCCTTTGTTATATGCTGTGCCTCCTGATCTTCACTAGCTGACAGAATACCCTGCTACAAGAGATGTTCCCTTGGTCACTAACAACACAGCAGAGCACAATCAGAGACAAAAAATCATCAAAGCCAACCAGTAACCAGTTTCACTAGAACCACCCAGCTTTTTTTTTTTTCATTTTCCTTGCTATCAAAAGTGATGAAGCAGCAGGTACAGATACACTGGGAGCTTTAATCACAATCCTGCACAAAGGCAGTTCAGGACAGTTTTCCAGTTTTCCAAGCAGTTTTTGCCAAATAGTGAGTTCTTATCCCAGAAGCTGGAGTCTGAGTGTATCAAACAGTAGATTACTATAGTCATTTACTACTGTGTTTTGTGTACCTAACCTATTCCACTGATCCACTCCTCTATTTCTTAGCCATTATCAAATAGTTTTGATGATTGATGCTTTGTAATATAGTTTTAGATCTGGAAAGGCTAGACCATCTTCTCTTGAATTTCTTTCCATTAATTCTCTTTATATTCTCAACCTTTTGTTCTTCCAGATAAGTTTTATTATTTTTTCTAGCTCTACAAAATAATTTTTGGTAGTTTGATTGGGATGGCACTCAATAAGTAAATTATTTTAGGTGGAATTGTAATTTTCATTATATTGGCTTTGCCTATCCATGAGCAATCAATACTTTTTCCAGTTGTTTAGATATTCCTTTATTTTGTGAAAAATGTTTTGTAATTGTGTTCACATAGTTCCATTTAGACTACCAAATATTGTCTACAGCCATTTTAAATAGAATCTCTCTATTTTAAAAGGAATTAAATAATTTAAATGAAATGAGAGAAAACTAACAATAATATAAACTGTCCAGATGAACAGAAGAAATAGAATGTCTAAATAAACCTATTTTAGAAAAAAAAATTGCACATAAAAGAGATTCCATAGAAAAAAATCATAAAGATTTACAAGTGAATTCTACCAAACATTTAAAGATCAATTAATTCCAATATTAAATAAATTATTTGGAATAATCCACAAAGAAGGAGTTCTACTAAACTCTTCTTAAGAAACAAATGTGGTGCCAATACATAGACCAGGGAGAACAAAAAAAGAAAGAAAATTATACACTAATTTCACAAATACATATTGATACAAAAATCCTAAATAAAATGCTAGCTAGGAGACTACAGCAATATATCACAAAGATTGCACATTGTGCCCAAGTGGGATTTATAGCAGGAATGTAAGACTCATTTAACATAAGGAAAATGATTAATATAACTGATTACATCAGTAAAAAAGCAGCAAAAATCATATGATTACATCAATAGACACAGAAAATGCTTTTGATAAAATCCAATACTCATTCCTATTTAAAAAAAAAAACACTTGAAAGTACAGGTATCAATAGATTTTTCAATCAATCAATAGATTTTTCCTTAAAATGGTAAGAAGTATCTACCTAAAACCATCAGCAAGCATTATCTGTCATGGGGATAAGCTAGAAGCCTTCCCAATAAGATCAGGAGTGAAACAAGGATGCCCATTATCACCAATATTATTCAATATTGTCCTAGAAATGCTAGCAATAGTAATAAAAGAAGAAATTGAAGGAATCAGAATGAGCAATGAGGAAATAAAACTGTCTTTTTTCAGGCACTAAGACAGCATACTTGGAAAATCTAGAGATTCAATTAAAAAGAGTTGAAACAATAAATTTAGCAAAGTAAAGGTTAAAAACTAAACTCACATAAATCATCAGCATTTTTATATATCACCAACAAAGTACTGAAAGAAGAGATAGTAAGAGATATTCCATTTAAAATAACCATAGACAATATAGAATACCTGGAGTATACTTGCCAAGACAAACCCAGGAACTACATAAATATAATTATAAAACACTTTTTCTATAAATAATGTCATATTTAAATAGTTGGAGGAATATTAATTGTTCATGAGTGAGCTGAGTCAATATAATAAAAGATGGCAACTCTAGCTAAACTAATCTACCTATTCAGTGCCATTTCAATTAAATTACCAAAAAATTGTTTGTTTGTTTTTTGAGCTAGAGAAAAATAAAAACAAAATTCAGGGGGAGCCTTCTAGGTGCTGCTGTAAGGAATTTTTGGTCCTATGATATATCTAAATCTCAGATACATTCTAGACATCCATAGTAAGACCAGCAGAACACCAAATGGTGCTGATAACTTTAATATGATGTGGATATGTTAACTTTCAAGTTCTACCTGAAACTTTGAGATGAGTTGGATATGTTAATGAACTAACTCCAAGGTGGGAAAAAACCCCTATAAAAAAGAGACCCCAAACTCCTGTCTACTCTCACCCCCAAGCACTCTTCCATCTCCATCAGGTCCATGCTGGGAAGTCCTCCTAACTCCAATCCATGTGAGAGAAATGATTATTTCTTTCATGTTAATAACCAATTAGTAAATTAGGATTAGGGTATTCCTCTTCTGTTTTCTCATTCAAAACGCAGTCTTTGTGAAGGACATTACTGATAGGTGAGAATGTCCAAATCCTCTGTGTACATGCTTCTCCCCAACCCAACTAGAAGATCTTACAAAGAATATCTAATCTAGGTGGAATTCTTACCCCACCATTGTTCATTTTTCATTGACCAGGTGGAGGATAGATCCTTTTGCATAGATTGCCTGAGGAGGGAGTGGTCTAGCTTCAGATGAGTCTCTCTTTGTCCATGAGAGACATGATCAGGGTCATGTACCCAGCCTCTCATTAGAACAGGCCCAACTCTTATTATAATACTCATTCTGTCATTAATTGTTAACCAATCAGAGTTGGCTTCAGCCTGTCAGGAACTCCCACTTTTCCAAGGGCATATGAGCATTGAGCATCTTCCATGTCTTTGGTTTCTGAGAGTGCCACAGATCTCTTTTATAAATTATTCAATTGCCATAATTAACAAAAAATGATTGTTAATTACCTAGAAATTATGTCTCTCAGACTTTTCAAATGTCACACGTGGTTATGTGAGTGAAATTATTTACCTCCCCTTGCCCCGATCATCTTCTTCTCTCTGCCTTCTGGTCTCATACCATTCCCCCATCTCTGAGCCATACCATCTGCCTCTGTACCTCTTCCACAGCTTGCCTCTGTACTTTCTATGATGGAAAATGGTGATAAATAATAGTACCTACCTTATAAGAAAAAAGTCTCCATATACTCAAATATTTATAGCAGCACTTTTTGTGATAGCTAAGAATTGGAGATCAAGTAAATGCCCAGCAACTGGAGGATATTTAAACAAATCGTGTACATGAATGTAATGGAATACTACAGTATTGAAATAAATGAAATGTGTGATAATATAGAGAAGTATGGAAAGATCTATATAAAAGGATGCAAAGTGAAATAAGCAGAGTGAAGAAAACAATATTCACAGTAACTACAACAATGTAAATAGAAAGAATCAAAAATTAAATTAAAATTTTGAAGATCAAGTAAGACTAAAGAGATATGAGAAGACACCTCCAACCTATCCCTTTGTCCAATGTAGTTTTATACTTTGCGCATGTTTTTGGGCTTTCTCAATGTATGGATCATTTGTGGTGATCTTTCTGCCCCCTCCCCCCAATAAAATCCTATTTGTCATATGGGATGGCTATCAGGGAAAAGGAGGGAGAGGGGGAGGGATACCATGGTGATGTAAGAAACAGAAAACATCAATAGTTCCTTCTTTTGGCATCTTCCCTTCTCAGTCCAGGCTCCACAGGAGTTGCCCCCATTGCCACAGCTGAGTCTCTGCAGGCATTCAAGGGCCTTACGCAAGAGGCTGCCCTGAGTTTCTCCTCTGACCCAGACCCCAGCACCAAGGATTTCCTGTTGCAACAAACAATGTTAAGAATAAAAGATCCCCC